AGGGATTTTTTTGGAGCGTGGTGCTGGAAGCACAGTGTTGGCAGGTGCTGAGGGCACCCAGCACCGCCCCTTGCTGCCCCATGGACCCTCCAGCCCCTGGTGAGATCTGGAGGCCACAGAGGGATAACCTTGGAGACCTGGAGTCTGTGAGGAAACAGGATCTCAAAAGAATCACAGAATCACGGAATGGTTTGGGTTGGAAGGGAATTTAAAGCCCATCCAGTTCCACCCCCTGCCATGGGCGAGGACACCTTCCACCAGACCAGGTTGCTCCAAGCCCCGTCCAACATTTCCAGGGATGGGGCAGCCACAGCTTCTCTGGGCAAGTGATAGAACCTCAACTACTATGTGTCTTCCCAAAGGGTTTCAAGCCTCCAGCAGGAGGGAAGGGAAGCAGAGAGCTGTGTGAGGGAGGGCAGAAGTGGCAGCTGTGACGCCCCAAGGCTGTCGGGGTGCAGCACACCAGGCTTGGGCAGGACAGAGACCTGCAACACAACCTAAAAATGGCATCTTTCACCAAAGCCTCATGACTATCACACCCAAATGGACTGAAAAACAAGACTTCCAAGCTTATTTTTCACTTCTCTGGAAATATAGGGAATAGCTTCTACAGAAAGAGTCAGGTATTTTTGGTGTTGTTTTTCTGGAGGACCACAGAGATGCCAAAGGACACATGTCCTATCCAGAAGTGGTGAAACAGACACAATTAATTAGATTAGTCCTTAAAATAGTTTGAAATAAAACCTGTCCCCTATATTTCGCCTTCCTTCCCTTCAGTATCCCTGGTTTGTCCAGGAATACTGGCCAAAGTAGTGCTCCTTTCACCACCTCTCATGTCTCCTTGCTTAACTCAGGCTGTCAAGGAAACATTGTCAGGTGAGATGAGGTTTTGCTTTAGATTTGCAAAAGGATTCTAATTCTTTTCCCCTAAGACCCACAGACATACTCCCAGGAAAAAGGAAATAAATTATGTAAATACAGGGGGTCTGAAAGGCAAAACAACAGATTGAATGTGTCAGGAACATACATACACACATATGCTCAGACACTACTTAAAATAATATAAATTTAGCTAGTGATAACATTCTAGTTATATCACAGTACCAAAACCTTGTAAGTGAAGTTGCCAATAGCTGAATACTCTAAAAACTGAAAGTGAGTTCCATTTTTGAAAGAAAAAAATAGAAAAATTAAAAGAATAATTACTTTAAGGGGGTTTTCAGTACTTATATCAGTAATATTGGAGAGGTAAGTTTTCAAAGTTGATTTTTTAATTGTTCTTTTACCTCAAGAGATGTCAGAGGTGTTCGAGTGTATACCTACGAGAGACTTGCAGTGTCTCTGCACAGCTGACCTTAAAGCTTTCTCCATCCATTGGACATTTGGAAGAGGAATTGTCTACAGACTCTCAATACAAACATTTACTTTTCACTGAGTTTGGTTTTTTTTTTTAGATAGCCACAGTCATCTGGGAAAACTTCTCATGAAGCAGAAACACTTATCCTTATCTTCTCTATTTTGGGAGTTTTTCCTCCTACACCTTTCCCAACATTTTAAATTTATATCATTTTATGCACCCAACTAATCTGGCTATAGCTCAGGTCAAATCATACCTAAGCACATCATCTGCCCTTTGGCTGCTGCAGAGAAGATTCTGATACAATTTTCAGGCTGTACAAAATATCTTGACAGCTGAAAACCAGCTAATCAACTATTCTTACGTTACTGTGGTTTGTATTCCCAAATCCACAACTGGCTGTGTATCCCACCTCATTCATTTCAATAGACTGAAATATAAAGTTCACCTCTTAAGTGTCATCACAGTCAATTGTTTTCACTGCTGCTAATTTTCGCAGAAAAATCCTACCAATGTGCTTAGTCCCTGTTCATAAAGTGCCTAAAATCTTCCAGATCCACCCATTCCTGCTGGAAACCCCCAGCCTTTCCCTGTGATGCCACAGAGCATCAGCACAACAATCTCAGGTGACCCAAACAAAAAATGGACACCACCTAAAATGTGTTAAGGTGACCAAAAAATTAAGACAGGACCCCAGGATGAATTAATTTCAGAACTTTTGTCAAAAAAGCCAAGGTGAACAGTGGGATGTGGCCCAGGTGTCACCACATGAGCTGTCCTGTGGCCACCAGCAGAGCCAAGGGGTGCTGACCCTGGGTCAAACCCACACCTGAGCACTCCAAGGTCCTTCCAGGGGGGTGAGGGAGGGCAGGCCAGGAGATACACAATCATAGAAACATAAAGGTTGGAAAGCCCTCCAAGACTGTCGAGTCCAACCATTCCCCCAGCAGTGCCAAGGCCACCACTAACCCACGTCCCCAAGTGCCACATCCACATGGCTTTTAAATCCCTCCAGGGATGGGGACTCCACCACTGCCCTGGGCAGCTGTGCCAGGGCTGGATAACCCTTTCCATGAAGAAATTTTCCCAATATCCAATATAAACATCTCCTGGCACAGCTTGAGGCCGTTTCCTCTCCTCCTGTCCCTTGTTCCCTGGGAGTAGAGTCCGACCCCCCCCGGCTCCCCCCTCCTGTCAGGGAGTTGCAGAGCCAGAAGGTCCCCCCTGAGCCTCCTTTTCTCCAGGCTGAGCCCCCCCAGCTCCCTCAGCTGCTCCTGCTGCTCCAGCCCCGTCCCCAGCTCCGTTCCCTTCCCTGGACACGCTCCAGCCCCTCAGAGTCTCTCCTGCCGTGAGGGGCCCAGCAGTGCCCCCCGCCCGCGGCTCCCCCGGCTCCCCCCACAGCCCCCGGCCCGGCCGGGCCCGCCCCGCTCCTACCGCCCGCCCGGCGCCGCCGCTTCCGCCCGCGTTGCCCGGAGACGCGGGAGCCGCGGGGCCCCGCAGGGAGGGCCCGGCCGCCGCCGCCGCCCGCCGCCCGCGTTCCGGGGCTCTCGGGGCCCGGCTGTGCCCGCTCCCCGGGAGAGCCGGGAGGGCTCGGCTGTCCCCGCTCCGCTCCCTGTGCCCGCTCCCCGCGCTCCTCCCGGCGCCTTTCCCGGGCCGGGGAGCGGCGGGGCCGCCTGGGACGGGCGATAAGGGCAATCAGCGTGCCCGTCCTCCCCTGGAGCGGGGCCAGGGGCTCCCATGGCCTCATGGGACCCCCCTGCCCCCGATCCCACAGCCCAGGGACTCACCTGTCCTCACCAGACCCTGTTGTCCTCCATCCTCCCGGGGCCAGAGGCTCGGCTGTCCCCATGGAACCCAGTTGTCCCCCATTCCCACATGCCAGAGGCTCACCTGTCCTCACAGGACCCCATTGTCCTCTGTTCCAAAAGTCCAGGGACTCACTTGCCCTCACGAGACCCCACTGCCCCCCATCCCACAGGGCTCTCCTGTCCTCATGGGATCCTGTTGTCCCCATCCTACAAGTGAGGGATGTCCCTTTCTAATGTGGGACCCTGATGTCCACCATCCCCAAAGGCCAGGGACTCGCCTGTCCCCACAGGACCGTGTTGTCCCATGTCCCCAGAGGCCAGAGGTTTGCCTGTCCTCATGGGACCCCCTTGTCTCCCATCCCCAAAGGCCAGGGACTCGCCTTGCCAAGCAGGACCCCATTCACCCTCATCCCCAAAGTCCAAGGACTTGCCTTTCCTCAGGAACCCTGTTGTCCCTCATCCCAAAGGTCCATCCCCATGGGACCCTATTATCCCCCACCCCCACAGGCCAGGGGCTCACCTGTCCTGACAGGACCCCTTGACTCCCACCCCCAGCACCTCAGCAGCCCCCTGGCCTGGCAGAGGCCTATGAGTGCAGATGGGTGCCCGGGAGCTTCCCTCCTGTGACCCAGTGGTGGGTTGGGGCCAGCGAGCTTGGGAAGACTCTGGGCAATGTGAGGGGGTCCCAAATGGAAAGGGAGAGTGGGTGTGGAGGTGAGGGTGAGCTAGAGAAGAGGTTTTGGGGGCTTATTTTTGTTGTTGAGTGCCACAGAATTGGAATAAGGTGGGGGAAGGTTTGGTTTTCTGGGAGCTCAGCTCCCTGGGATGGGACAGGTTCATCTCTGTACCTACAGACCACACAGACAGGCCCCTTCCCTATTGCTGGGTTTGCTCTGGGGCTGCCTTGTTCTACAGGGAGAGGGGTCTGGGAGGGCACCATCTTCAGTGCTTGTTCTAAGGCCAGGAAGGCCCTCTCCAGGGATCGTTTTGAGTGAGAGGTGGTGACTGGACTCAGGTCTCAGACATCAGCAGAGGCCAAGGAGCCGTTCAGCACCATGTCCAAACTGAGGGCTGGAGATGGGAGAGGAAAATGCCCTTCCCTGTGCCACCACACCCTGCCCACTTTCCCCTGTGCCACCACACCCTGCCCGCCTCTCCCTGGTCTCTGCTGATAAGGGCAGTGGCTCTGACCCCTCCTCCACAGGGGATAACAGGCAGCCCAGCCCAGCAGTCTCAGCCCCAGGATGGGGGGCAGTGTGAGCAGTTCCACATTCCCATATGGAATTTACTCTGTGCAGTGGTTGTTGCTTCCCTGTAGAGGTCAGGAATGCAGCACAGAAGGAGTTCCCTTCATCCTACCCTTCTCCTGAAGTCTGCTACAGACCCAGCGTGCCATTCTGTGATTCCAAAACTTTTCCTAATATCCTGGGGATGAGTTAGTACAGACCAGTTGTCTCAACCATGCAAGGCTGGACAGGGCTTGGAGCAACCTGGTCTAGTGGAAGATGTCCCTGCCCATGGCAGGAGGTGGAATGAGATGGCCTTTAAGGTCTCTCCCAAACCAAACCATTCTGTGATTCCATGATTCTCTGACAGGCCACGGCTGCCAGCTCTGGCCTTACCACTCTGGTCATACTCTGGCATCAGGAAGGTGGAACCATGGTACATCAAAACAGTGTGTGGGGAAGAAAAATATTTGTATTAGCTTTGCAAAAACACACAAGGATTTGAGGGTGTGGTGGTAAATTTGCCAAGGCACCAACTCCTGGCCAATTCTGAGTAGCCTGGTCATCCTTTAGCTATTCTGGTGCTGGTTTAGCTGCTCCAGAGTTGGTCTAGTCCTTGCTTCTGCCATCTGGAGAAGCTGAGGGCCATCAGGAGGTCAGGTCTGGGGCAGTGCTCTGCATCCGTGGAAACGTTCAAGGCCAGGAACTTGGAGCAACCTGGTCTAGTGGCAGGTGTCCCTCCCCATGTCAGAGGGGTTAGAACGAGATGAGCTTTAAGGTCCCTTCCAACCCAAAACAGTCCATGATTCTATGATATGATTCTGTGTGAAGGAGATGGAGCTCACAGCCACCAGCAGACCCACAGCTCAGCTGGGCTGCAGTGGAGCCATCCTCCCTCCCCTCCTGGGTGTTTGGTTGGGGTGACCACATGGTGCCCCAGGGTTGGTGGGATTGTAAGGGGGTCTCACACAGTACTTAAAGACTTTGACACAGTTCTCCCCCGTGTCTGCCACAAAGAGGTGCCCGAAGGGGGAGCAAGCCATGCCAGCAGGCCTCTGCAGCCCCACGGACACCAGGCAGACGGGAGCCCCGTGCTCTGGGAACAAGTGGACTGTCCGGCGCTGCTCGTCTGCCACCAGGATGCTGCCATCCCTATCCACACACACCCCAGCGGGGTTGCCAAACTGGTGTCCATATTTGCTGCTGAGGGAGCAGAGGAGCTTGTGGCTGCTCATGAAGACCTTGACATCCCCACACTCCTCGCTCACCACAAAGCCCCCGTTGGGCGCTGGGCTGACGTAGCGAGGCCCCTGCAGGTCAGGCACTGAGTGGACCTCGAGTGTCTTGAAGGCGTGGTCCAGAGCAAAGCTGTGCACTTGGCCTTGGGCATAGTCTGCTACCAAGATCTTGCCCATGGAGTCGACTCCAATGCCCCTGGGGGAACCAACCTTTCTGATCTTTACCCATTCCCTCTTGGAGAGGCTGGTGTAAGGGTTGAAGGCCCAGATGGCTTCATTCACCATGTCGGCCACAGCCACCATTCCCATGCGAGTCACAGTCACATCTTCTGGCAGGAAAGTGCCCTTCCCCCTTTGCTGGCAGGGCAGGGCCTGCAGCGTGTGGCCTGTGCTGGAGAGGACGTGGACCCAGGGAGCATTCTCAGCTGTCAGGTAGATGGAGCCATCCGGGGAACAGTGGATTCCATGGACACCCCCATAGCGGCTGCCAGTGGGGTTGGGGATCTGCCGGACCAGGTTGTCCTGGCAATAGTGGAGGAGGTTCTTGATGTTGTCCAGATCTCCACACAGACTTTTGGCCTTATCTGCCAGCTGGTGGACTTGGTGCTGTGTCACCATGCCCACGCTGGGCTGGCTGCTCAGCAGTGGGCTGGCTGTCTGGAGAGTGGCAAATGACTTCAGCTGGAGGCTGTAGATGGTTTTCAGCAGCTTCTCCTTTAGCTGGCTGTTCTCCAGGGTGTAGTCCATGACAATCTCTTGTCCCTGTTTGGGGGAAGCAGGAGGACCATGACTGTCCCTGCCTGTTGCCATCCCTGGGGATACACTAAGGTGTTTGCTGCCTACCCAGGGTCAAGGTGTAGACACTGGTCTGGATTAACTTCAGTGCCAAAGAAACCACATCACTGTAGTGCCAGCTAATTATGTGCTCGGGACATAAAGACAAAGAAAGACATTGGCATGAAAATGAAAGAGTCATCAAGCTGGATCTGCAGCTGGAGGAACAGCCAGAAAGGTCCATTGGCTTCAACGACAGCTCAGCTGGTGTCAGATGTGGCCTGAGGATTTTTGTGTAAAGGTGAGCCATGTGTGAGCACAATCTCCACCACTCTGGTTCCTCAGATTAGTGGCTTCTCTCAGGTTTTTAACACCTCTTAACCCTATTTTCTGTGAACCTCATCTGTCCAAACCATGCTCAGTCTATGATAACACTCAGGACACTGAAGATGAGTATTCCTTAACTCCCACATGGGTCAGATGTCACACGTGGCCAGCACATCTCTTTGCTAAGGGCACCCTCTCCGCATCCAAATAGATTCATAGAATCACAGAATATTCTGAACTGGAAGGGACTCACATGGATCATCAAATCCAACTCCTGGCCCTGCACAGACACACTAAGCAGTGATGGGAGCCCAGTTCTGCTGTGTGTTCCCAGGGCCTGGCTGGAGAACAGCTTGTAGCACACAGCCAGGAGCTTGCAAGGGAAATGTGGCCTCATTAAAGCTCCTGGGGAGGCAGAAGTTCACTTTGCTTTAAATGTGATTATAATTAATATTATAATGGGCACACTTGGCTGTTTTGAGTTGTTTGCAGGCCGTCACTCCACTTTTATCACCCCATGTCCCATGATTGCCTGGATCATGTGCTCTGTGCTGCCTGCAAAAGGGACATTTCCCCAAACCACAGCTGAAGGAAGCTAAGGCATACTCTGCCAAACAGTCCTTTCCATGTGCAAATCCCACAATTATCTAAACCCTATCCCCTGAATACTTGCAGAGCTACCAAATACAAGTGTGTGATGGTGGGGATGAGTGTGAATACAGACAGAATCCAATTTCTGCTAGATTTGGGGCCTGAAAACAGCTGTTTCTTCCCCAAAGTGGTTGTGCTTTGTCTCCAGCAGCAGAGACCTGTTTGGTGGAAATAAGCCCCCCACCCCCACCCAGAACTGCAAGTCAGGGTCCTCCTTCAGTGCTGGACAGAGTCCAAAATCCAAACCACTGGATTTTACAGATGGGGAAACTGAGCCACCACCAGGGAGCTGCTATGCCAGCCACCACACCCCCCTCACCAGGAGCACCCACCTCCCTTCCCAGGTGCTGGGCACCCAAAAGCTACCCTCAGACCATTGATGGTGTGTCCTGAGCCAGGCCTGAGCTGCTCATTCAGGGTCCAAGCCCAAGAAGAGGTCTCTGACCTGTCCCCCACACAACTCAGGGCAATGACCACGAGCCCAGCTCAACAGACCTTGTACCTCAGTCCTGCTGTCCAGGAGCTGCCTGTCCTTCCCTGGCAGCGCTGCCCTCCCACCGGCTCTGTCCTGCTCTGTCTCACCAGCTCTGTCCTGCTCCGTCCCACCGGCTCTGTCCTGCTGCCTCAGGAGCAGGAGTCCTCCTGCCGGGCAGGGAGCAGGACCAGGGGATCTTGTGTTGTTAGTGACGGGCGATTGCCCTTGGGTCTGGGTAAACACAAAAACTCCTTGTGCTGACAACCAGAAGCAGTGACACGAGGGCTTATCTGTGTGGGTTTTTTACTCCCTGCTGGTCTCCTGCCAGAGACAAGGTGCCTTTCCCGCAGGATCGTTCTGTGCTCCAAGGTGCCCAGCTGCAGGGATGATCTGGGGCTTCTAAGGAGAGGCAAAGGGGCTGATTTGCTGCATGTCACCCTTGGCAGCTGCTGGGGTGGGACAGGAACACCCTCACTGTTAATCAGGGCTCCTGCCTGGTCTCGTGGCTGCGTCGCTGCCTCCCCGTGTGCCCCCAGCCTGGGCACTGTGCAGATGTGTGCCTCAATCTCCCCGCTTGCAAAAAGGAGACTGGGGAATTTTACCATGTCAGGCTTTGAGGTGCAGTGATGGAGAAGTTCCAGGAAGAGGCAGGTCAGCCAGGACTCCTGGCACAGCCCCCCCTCCATCTCCATGCTGCTCAAACCAGGCTCCCCCCAGCTGGGCAAATCCATGTTTGGAGCTGATGGTCGCTTTTATCAGTTCAGCTCCAACAAAGAGGGTCAGGAGTAAAAGCAGAGTCGGCCAGGAGCAGCCTGCAAGGGGCTGCTCAGAACCTGCCCTTCCTCTCTGGCAGTGATTCCTGGCAGCGCTTCCTGTCTGTGCTCCATCCACCTTTGCCAGCAGTGAGCTCAAACCACCCACCTTAAACCTGGTCAAGGTGTGAAGAAGTTTGTGTCTATTCATTCCTCAGATGGGCCAAAGGCAAGTGAAGTTTGAATCAGACTCAGCCACCTTTGGGATGTTTGGAGGGGCTGCAAGTGCCTGGCCCTTGGGGCTCAGGAAGCAGTTTGGGGTCCAGCTGGCTACAGGAGCTGTGGGACGGGGATCTGCCTCCAAAGCCCCAGGACTGGGTGCTCCTCTTGCCATGTGTTTAGGGCCCTTCTGGTCCTGTATCAGACTCCGAAGCTCACAGTGCCTGGGAAGCTGCTTCAGACCTATTACCAGCCAAAATTACAAAAATAACTTGACACGACAAGCACCACGGCCGCTCCATCCGAGCCCCAGCAGGACGGGAGTCAGCTTCAAAAACCATCTCCCAGGGCAACAGGGTCTGACCTTTTGTTTCGCTGTTGTGAGCTCCATCACCAGGATAAACAAACACAGCCTGGCCCTGGGGCTCCCTTTCACCTTTCCAGGACTGTGGCTCTGTCACAACCTGTTCAGAAGCCATCCCTGGACCCCCGAAGACACCTGTGTCATGGCAGGCCTGGCACAGCCCATGCCCACACCAGCACCGGGAGCTACAGGGTTCAAGGACGAGGGCATGGTCAGCCCGCTGGCTCTGGAGATGGACCAAGGGAAAGAGAGTTTGGGTTCAGTTCAGGCTTTCCTGGCGCACATTCCTTGCAGGTATGAGTGATGAACTTCTCACCTTGCAACTTTTCCCACCCTGGCCCAGGGACAGCAGATCTTGGTTGAGTGTCCACAGGGAACAGACAAGCCCTGGGTCTCTGCCAGTCTCTGTGCCCAGGGATGCTTAGTGCCCACCTGGCAATGTGCATGTGTGCAGGGAGCCAGTGGGAGATCCCATGGGAACAGCCGATGTTATTGCTACCAAGTCACAGATTTGGGGGGAAAAAATATTTCCCCATCTAGAGCACAGCTCCTTGGCTGAGGAGAGGACCGGGGGGACAGAGATGGCCACAGTGTCAGTGCAGTGTTAATTGTCATGGTGCAATGAAACCCTCCTGGGGCTCAGGTCCATGCTGGACACTGGAGCACTCCAGCCCTGAGTCCCAGCAGTCCCCAGCCTGGTCAGGTCACAGAATGACACAACGAGTTGTAAGGGACGCACAAGGGTCATGGAGTACAACTCCTGGGCCTGCACAAGACCATCCCCAAGAGTCACACCCTGTGCCCCAGAGGATCATCCAAACCCTCCTGGAGCTCTGGCAGCCTTGGTGCTGTGCCCACTGCCCTGGGGAGCCTGGGCAGTGCCCAACACCCTCTGGGGGAAGAACCTTTTGCTGAGATCCAACCTGACCCTGCCCTGACACAGCTCCAAACCATTCCCTGAATGTTGTCCCTGGTCCCCCCAGAGCAGAGCTCAGTCCCTGCCCCTCCTCTGCCCCTGCCCAGGCAGCTGGAACTGCAGGGAGGTCTCCCCTCAGTCTCCTCTTCTCCAGCTGAACACACCAAGTGCCCTCAGTGTCCTCACACGGCTTCCCCTCAAGGCCCTTCCCCATCCTCGTTTCTCTCCTTTGGACACTCTGTAATGGCTCAATATCTTCCTTCCATTGTGTGCCCCCAAACTGCCCCAATGCCACAGGTGAGGCCGCCCCAGGGCAGGGCAGAGCGGGACAATCCCCTCTGTGGCCAGGCTGGTGATGCTGGGCCTGATGCCCCCAGGACATGGTTGGCCCTCCTGGCTGCCAGGGCACTGCTGACTCAGGGCCAAGTGGCCATTGCCAGGACCACCAGGTCCATGCTGGATGTCACAGCACCGCATCCCAGAGGGCCCCAGCAATCCCCAGCCTGCTCCGGACCTCTGTCAGCACAAGGAGGTTGCATCCAAGGGCTGTGACGGTTTGCAGGGACTGAAGGGGCGATGTGGGGACGAGGTGAGATGGCAGCAGCATCCAGCTGGACACAGGCTGGTCATTGCTTTGCACAGACACCAGGCGGCTCCGTCTG